GTGTGGGGAGCTGTTTCTACCATTACTTTGGGTCGAATATTTGTTTTGAGGTAAGGGGAGGACTTTACTCTAGTTATCTCTGTTAGAAATAGGTTTATTTGAATTAATGTAATAATGTGATAGACATAGGAAGTGAAATTACATATTTTGATGAATTGTACGAATTGGGTTGAGTCCGGAGGTGTCCAACCTCTGGCACATTATGTGAAATTGAGTGATGTGATTTGTGTTGGTTGTCGTTGGATGCAATAAAATGAGTTGTGTATGATAGAAATGTGATTGTGAATATGTTAAGCATGACGTGTAACAATTGTGATGAAATGGTTGGTTGCAATGTGGATGAAATTGTGTTGACATGCCCTTGATTTCTAATTGAATAATGTGAATGGTTGGAAATGAGTGTGGATGGCATATTAAATGAATAATGATGTGTTTGGGTGTTGGAACTATGAATGGTTCAGAGATACACTGGGGGTGTGGAAGATGGGGGCGATAGAAATATCTTGGAGAAGAGAGGGTGGTGGTGACACCAACAATGAGCGTAGGTACACCCCAGGCCACACACTCTCCTCCTAACTCGGCCTCTAACTAACACCTTTGCCTGGGGGCTCAATACCGCACATGTTGTATCCGTGGAGCAGGAGCTATTCGGGCGACCATTCATGGTATAAACTGAGTAAGTCCCTGAGGTTGAGGGCATCAGGAATCTGTGATCACAGTGCCACAGTGGGCGTGGTTACGTGCAGTGAGTGCACGTGTGTTTGTGTAAATGTGTAGATTTGTGATAGGTGCAGTGAGCGTGCCTATTGTGATTGAGAACTCAGATGCATGATGTTTGTTGACGTATACTCTTAATATGACTAGAATTCATGTATAAGGGGTCAGGTGAATCTTATGCTTGTCTGTGTGTTTATACTAGTGTAAAGGACTCACCCTTACGTTTATTTTTCAGGTAATCAAGACGATCAGCATCGGGGGCCTTGAAGGAAGGAAGGATGAAACTGCTATAGGACTTAGAAATTTATTTTGAAAATCTAATATATATTTAAGTCCTGTAGTAAGTGATGATGCGAATTTGTAATCCTTTCTTACTATGAGATATTTTACGAAATTGTGTTGGACTATCGTTTGAATGGAAAAAGTTTTATTAAGCCAAAATTTTACGAAATCTATTTATTTATAAATTAAAAATATAAGGTGTTACATTTCTTGTACTTACATCTGTATAAATGTATTGAAAATGAGTTAGAGGTGAGACTCTATTCTTGATTGTGGTTCGATAGTGTAGAGTACTCACCCTTACCTTCATTTTTTAGGTAATCAAGACGATCAACACCGAACTCAGTGAAGGGGTGGATGGAAGACTTAGGATATTATTTTGAAAAAACTATTGTATTTGAATAAGTCTTGTAGCAACTGTTTGATATGATTTGTAACATCTTTCTCTAATTGAAATGGTTGATAAAACTTGAATTAAAAATAGAAATTTTATTATTTCAAAAATTTATAATATTTCTTATTTATTGAAATTAAATTCAAGGTGTTACACCTCTTCTCTCAAAGGAGAACTCTCTCGAACTTCAAATCTCTTCTAGATCCGAGCTCAAACATCTATTTTATTCAAAATAAAGTTTTTTGAAGCTCAGATCTCTAGTTTTATCTTTTTTTCTTCGATTTTCTCTTTCTCAATAAGTGTTCACCTTGTAATATTTAGGAATATTTCTGCATTTTGAACAAAACTTTTCATTTTGGACATATTGTACCTTCTCTCTATATCATTAGAAGGATTTGATAGTAGAGATCCATTTCAAGGGGGAGTAGATCCTAAACTCTGACTCTTATCTCATGTCTTTGCTTAGAAAATTTAATTCTTTTGTGCTAAATAGTAAAGCTTTCATGAACTGGGATCTTTAGAACATGAAAGTATGATGAATTATTTTTGAACATATCTAGAAATTACCAGTAAAACAATTTTTTAAGAGAGTTTATGACCTAAATGTTAATGTATACGTATAATTATTGTTGGGTTATGATTTTGAATAATAGATGATAAAAAGTGTTGAACTCTAGGATAGACAATTTTATAAAAGACCGAGAGAGTATGATCTCTGGCAATTTCTTTGTGATTTGGCTTAATATGTGTTTAACTGCACAACGGGTTTAAGACCGAGGGTGACCGACCTCCGGCACACTTTATTGATGTGAATAATGTGAGATAGGTGAATGAATGGTCAATCCTTAAATTGTGTCTTATGATGAACAGGAGTTTATATTTGATAATTGATGAATGTGAAGATTTATGAATTTTGGTTATTATGAAAAATATTTGATTGTTTTGAATGAAAATGTGGATTTACTCAGAATTTCTGAATAAAGAGCTGATGTGAATAAGTGTGCATGTTGAATTTAAGTTGTTTATATTATCAAGTGAAAAGGAAAATGATGAATTGTATGGAATATGAAAGGCTAAAATGATGATAGAATATGTGTTATGTGGAAATACGGAGGTGTTATAAAAATGATTTGGAATGAAAATTTGCTAAGAAATGAAACATATATGAAATGCTGAGGAAGTAAAGGGTCATGAGAAATGTTGAGACCCTGTATATATAGTTACAGAGATACATTTAGGGTATAGAGGCCAGAGAAGATTTGAAAAATCTTGAAAAAATGAGGATGGTGAATGCTAATTGAAAGAGAGTGTACAATGATTTGCTGAAAGGAAAAGTATTCACAGGCCACACACTCATCTTCTGACGAGACTCTAAACTATACCTTTACTCAAAGGGGCCGAGAAACACACGTATCCGTGTTGTTGCGGTTAACCAGCAGCTATCTATACATATATAAGATCTCAAGGGATCCTAGAGGTAATGAATGTGAATATGTGAGATGTGTGTTTATAATAAGTGAATCATAACGGATTAATCAGTGTAATTATGATACATGTATTGTAATACATCGACAGGTGTAATTATAATGCATGTATTACAATGCATTAATTAATATGGCTGTAATGAGCTTATTATAATATACTGCTCGGTATGAAATAAATGAAATGTTATGAAAATTATAAATGTTTGATGTAATGGTGATATGATAGAATAATTTGTTGATATGTGGACTATATGTTAGTGAAAAGCTTGGATTGATATTATGTCGATGCATAATTTCAAGCATAATTAATATGATTGCGTCTGCTATGAATTTAATAATCTGGTATTGAAAACAGTATTATTTACTATGTTAGCACAAGAATTTATGTGTTTGTTTTAATGTGAATGACTTTTAAATTAAAGAATTATTGAGAATGAGATCGCTCACCCTTACAACCATTTTTCAGGAATTTAAAATGAAGGAATGTATGCCCTAGAATCATATTCTCAGTGATGCTACAAGGAAGAATCTGCTCTGTAGGCTTTAAATTATATTAAAGTTATAAAAATTTGATTAAATCTTAGTTATAATTAAATTTCTGATATATAAATAATGTATGATAAACTTAAACCTCAAGAGGTTTGATAGGATTTATTGTCAATAATAATTTAGATTATATTTATATTATTCATCAATCCTATTATTTTATGTTGAATTTTTAAACAATGAACAATGCCTTCCTAATACTTTGGCAAAGTATTACGAAAGAATTCATTTTTAAGAAAGTTGCAATGTTATTATATTTTTATACTACTTGTTTTATCCTATAACTTAATATTCATTTCTTTTAAATATCTATAATTTAATATGATAATGAAATAGTCTAAATAGTAAAAATATTACAAATATGTTCATTCAAAGAAAAGTTTTCTCGCATATTTATATTTCAAAAATTAAATAAAATTAATTTATTCTTTCGTTTCTCAATAAAGTATTATTTATTTTTAGAATTAAGAAAGTAGGGTATTACAATAAAGTTCATTATACACTAAATTAGTATTTTATCCTGAATTATTAGTGATAAAATATAATTTGTACAAATTTTTGATATTAGGATGTTACATATGCTATTTTCCTTTGGACTCATAAACTATACTCCAAAATATATTTTGAGGGATCACAAAACAATTCCTGAAAAGGTTACTGTGGACGAGACAGATACATTTGATGAAAAAAAACAGGGCATTTTCTTTTTTGCCTTTTGTCCCGCAAGTTGAAAGTAGACAGAACAAGCTTTGGCTGCTTCAAGTGTAGATTGCAGAAGTTAAAAAAAAAAGTACCATAAAAGGATTTAAGAAAAAGTTCAGTAAAGTTAGAACTAAAATGTATTTCATATATCAAACTGTGTATTACCTACAGCTGTATGAGAAATAAGAGCAAGATTGAGAAGGAAATGGTTGTGATCAAGAAACATTGTATAGAGCAAGATGCCTAGATATTGAGCCAGATGCCAACAAAATCTTTTAAACGAATTGGATAGTACATAATCTAAACATCTCCAAGGTTTTTGTTAATAATGAATGATTTTTATTTACATATGTTAATTTTGAGCCTTCTGCAAGATGGCTATTATCTAACCATCTTAGAAATTATAGAGTAATCATGGATTCTTTATTAGCAACTTTTAGTCTTACATGTCAAAACATCAATTTTACGGCATGTTCAAATTTGCCTTTCTATTTGTTCGTTTTGTTTTTTGCTTGCCCAACATTTGTCACCAAAACTTTCCTATTAAGAATGAATTTATTTATTTTTCCTTTTTCTTTTCAAACCACAGTTATGGAAACAATCCTATTCTAGCTAGAAACATACACAATATGTTGAGACTAACTCTATTAAAGCTCGAACCTGAGATAAAGGAGAATCAAGCATGTACCACTTGACCCACTTTATAGTTACAAGGAAATTAAATAAATTAACATATAATCATTTTATGTTACTAAAACAAAAAAATGGAATTGATATTAGAAGACAAAAATGTGACGTAAGAATTTTGGTTTTTCTTTCAAACTAGTAGTCTTGTAACCACAGAAGGAAAAGCAATCGGGCCTTTTGTCATTGATTAAAAGTGCCAATATCTAGAATTTGCCATAGCAAGCTATGCAAGGAAATTGACATAAACAATTGAACCAAACGGTATAAGCAGTGCAGCTACACAATCCATTTACAAAATTCTACAATCTGAAAATTCTGATCATATATAATACAGCATAACTAGAAAGTTTGGGGTAGAATATTCCTACTTGCTAAAAAGCAATTGCATCTTCCAATACCATGCACAACAGAAAATAAATCCTCTAATGCAGGTTTGTAGATAATTCAAACAAAAACCGAGAACCCTCTTCTAAACATGATGCATGATGATGTACACATCCATTGAAGGAAATATATGTGCCCTGACTTGTGCTCTCCTAGGAATGATAAGATCTCTTAAACCACATTTGGGCATGCTTTGAGTTCAACATATCTGGTGAAGAACTCCTTCCTTCGTTAAAATATCTCCCTTTGCATGAATGTGACAAATCCAAAATCTAAAGGAAGTAAGTGAGCTGCTGCTTCTTCCTCGAACCTCCTTCTCCATATAAATCATTCCACTGCTTCAGCTCATTCATCACTGATCCTTCCGAAGCAAAACTTGCAGCCACCTGCATTTAAGCAGAAATCTATAAGTTCACGTACATGGGAAAATATATTGTCATTGAAATTTCCTTTTGCCACATATGTAAGCTATGGAAGAGTTAATTGAAATTTGTATAATAACTCCAAGGTTGAATCCCTGGTTACTCACAGCTAATGTTAATGTTCTATTGTGCTTCTAAAGATCTCAACTTAATATTATTTTACCCAGATGCCAAATATCTATCATTGTATTCACTTGAACCACCAATTCCTAGATTTTAAAAGACCCACTTTTGAATGTACAGATGATCAAATCAAGTACTCCATAGTCATTCAAGCACCCTACCTGACTTTTAGCCTGTCTCATGTCTTCCATGTTTAAAGGCCTCAGGGTAATTTCATGCTCTTCTTTATCTTTGTTGTTTGAAGCATCTTCAGAGTTTTGGCCTTCTGCCTCTCTTTTTTTCTTTTCCTAAAATATGCAATTGATATAATTAGGTCTTCGGCTCATACCAAAGTTTGCATTGGATAGAGTCATAGAGATGTTAAACATAGAAGAAGTTGTTAAGTAACTACCACTTCCTTCATTCTCTCCTGCTGTATTAGCTCCCTAACTGGTCGATAAGCCGCAGTGATGCATAGATTCTGTTTACAGAACTTAAAAGTCAACAGGCAGTCACTAAAAAAATAGAACTACTCAATGACTACCAAAATTTACCTTTAGATCACTTCCACTATATCCTTCAGTCATTGTTGCCAGCTCTTGGAAGTCTAAGTTTTCATGTTTCTCCTTAGTCAGGAGAGTCTTCAGGATCATTTCCCTGTTCTCAGCAGATGGAAGACCAACCATGATCCTGCTCAACATTAAAAGAGTAAACAGATGCCATTCACAAATCACAAAAGCAATAATTATTTATCTGAAAAGCAAATAGTCCATGGATATTGCTAATAGAAGATTCTGCCAGTGCTCTCAATTAACGAGTATTGTTACTGCACAGTTGACAACACCATTTGATGTTATCATATCCACAAAAGACATCTAATAGACTCAAATAGAGAACAACTAAAAGGCCAAAGAAACCAACTGTTGCTGACAGAGTGGAGAGAAAAGCTATAGAAAGATTTGGCTTTTAAAGGTGGCATATATAACTGTTAGCTACATAGAAAAAAAAAAAAAAAGAGAGAGAGAGTGGACACCACCGAATGAAAACAAAACTACATAAATGAAAGGTCAAAATAATTGAGATGTCGTGTTTCCTTTTCTATAAGAAATTAATTAAATGACCACTTATTATGAATTTTCTTGTTTTCTGGTGGTCACACGGCTGTTCATAATGCATGATGATCATGCATGTGTCTTTGTTGTAATGTCTAAAATGTTGTGGCTGAAAAGAAGCAACATATGATCATGATTCATGCAAACTATAAGACAAAGATGTTGTCCTACCTGCGCTCAAACCGCCTTATAATTGCTTCATCAAGGTCAAATGGCCTGTTGGTTGCAGCAAGAACCAGAATTTGCTCATTAGGTCCTGTTAATAGCCCATCCCAGTGTGTCATGAATTCATTTTTTATCTTCCTCATGGCCTCATGCTCTCCTACTCTTGTCCTCTGCCCAAGCATGCTGTCAACCTCATCAACAAAGATAATAGTTGGGGCAACCTTAGCTGCTAGTGTGAACAGAGCTCGGACATTCTTTTCATCTTCTCCAAACCATTTTGATGTGATGGTGGACATTGAGACATTAATGAAACTTGCTCCGGCTTCATTTGCAATTGCCTTAGCTAGCATTGTTTTCCCCGTACCAGGAGGCCCAAAAAGCAATATACCTCTACATGGCTTAAGGAGTCCACCTTTGAAAAGGTCTGGTCTTCTAAGGGGAAGCATTACCAGCTCTTGAAGTGATTCTTTGATCTCATCCAGTGCACCAATGTCAGAAAATGTAACCCCTATCTCATTTGCAGGGATAACTTCTGGTCTGATACGCTTCTCAAACTCATTGTCAGGAATTTCCTGCAAGCATGCAACTTAATATAAAAAAAAAGGAACAAAGAAAAGAAAATAGCCATGTAAAAGGTCAGTTAGATCACATAGTTTCTACTAGATGGCTGTATAATGTTTGTGTATCATGTGTCCATGTTGAAACCAGTAAATGTTAGTAGATGGAAGCAAGTATAAGGATCTTATTTATTTGTTATATTTCTTCATTACATATTGAGGATCTGATTAGCACATAAGAAGCATATACAGGCTTAAGTGCTGAGCAAATAGATCTTACTGCTTTTACAGGTGTAGGATTTTCTCCTTCTTTCTTTATTATAGGGATGGATTTTTCTGCCTCGTTTTTGTTCTCAGGTGCTAGGTTGTCACACCGTACATCATTCTTTGCACCAGTAATATCTTCTCCAGCATTTTCCTAAGGTCAAAGAAACCACATCGATAGATAAAAATTGAACATATATATCATAAGCACTCTTCATAGTTCTGTTTTTTAATAGCATTTCTGCTATTCCTGTGTTGATTTCTTATGCTCTATCTGATAAATAGATGTAAACATCCATACCTTGTTAGATTCATTAGTCTTCAGATTCCCACTACTCTTGCCTTCCTGGAACAGACTCAATCCATGGGACAAACTGTCCACATACAAGATCAGTAACTAGAAGACCTCGTCATGTAATGTAATTAATTGCACAGACAATCATTGGAGAAGATGTTTACCTATTGGCTGATATAACTAGCTTTCCATTTCGGTATTCTGGATCCTTGGTATGCATTAAATGGTAAGATATTGCAGATACCACAATTTCTTCAATATAATTGCTGAGTAAGATAGTGTCTGCATGGCAGATTGAGTTCAAGTCATCACAGTCAATGTCATTTGCTGTGAGTACTTCAGCAATGTGGTTTCTGTTATCTTGGAACTGAATAACTTTCATGTCCTCTTCCAGCTGGCCTTTCCAACTGCCAGAATGAGCTTCATCTTCAGGTTGTTTGATCTCAATTTTGTATGGGAATAGCGTTGTGAGTCTTTCATCAACTTTTGTGTAATCATCTTCTGAATCTATTATCTGGGAACCAAGTATTAACACTGAGCCTGCCAGTTTCTTTATCATTTTTTGTAATAAATTATATAATCTTGGTGATTGGAGAACAAGCTTCTCAACATCCCTGATGTATAAAATGATGGAACTAGTTTCTGTGATAGAAACCAAAAGCTGCAAAAATTACAATAATCTTGTTATTTGAGTAAAAATTCTACTTGATGAGCTGGCATGCTTGTACACATTCAAGACAAATGGCTAAGCTTAAAAGTAATTAACCAAATTCAAAGAGCGAAAGAAGAGGCATAAGCCTGATATGACGATAGCCATGTAACAAATTCATTATTATCATTTCATACATATGTTGCCAACAAATGTTTTTGTTAGATACAACTTAAAAATGAGTATAAGAAATAAGTTTCAGTAATTAAATCACCTTGTAAAGGGACTGAACGAAGACCTTTTCATCAAAACATAAGCTACTTGTCCGCTTCAAAGGAGCTGAAAGCATAATTCAAATAAGTAAGCATAGTCTTGGGAGAACATTAACATTTCATGCATTAGCAGCAAGAAGAAAAGGCATCAAGCATTTTGCTTCATCACATTTAATGTAGTTTATGCAAGAAAGAAACTTATAGAGAAGACTACTTTCCTCCTAGTTTTTAAGGATAATCAGAATATGTCTTCATGTATCAGATTAGTTCTTGTTACCACTAATATAAAACTTATAAAAGCATTCTTGTGAATAGTACCTACACCCTTTGTATTCACAGAAGAATTAAGAAATAGATTGAAAGATTGATTTACTATTTAATCAAAGAAGTATGTTAAAAGAAGCTGACAGGGTACACAACAGAATTAAAAGTAGAAGTTCAAACTTCAAATCAATCTTTGACTTGGATGAGCAACCGAAAACATGCTTAATAAGGTAACCAAAGTATAACCTATAACCTTGAAGTGTTGGACCACACTGAGAAGCAGTGCTACTTATATCAGATGCAGCAGAGGCATTCCTCCTAAGCTTTGGAGGATTGGAACTTTCAACAGCACTGCTTTGTTGACGCAGAATTCCTTTGAAAGAGATTATCAATCAAGATCCATATATTAATAGTTCAATATAAGAATCATACAGATAATGGTCAATAAGGGTCAATCAATACAAATTCTAGAAAAATGAGCAGAGATGGTATGAAGTCCTCAAACATTTGCAATGTCAAGACTATGATCACAGTCTGTGATACTGACTTTGAAAACCGCCCCTACTACCAGATTGTTAAGCAATAAATACAAAATTAAATCATTCATTATCTTTAAGTCTTCAATTTCTAATTCTACAACAGGTAATTATAGAATAAGAAATTTCAAAGTTTTAAAAGTAGTGTGTTATTTCCTCTAGTAGTACCTTTAGATTCACCTGTTGGAGGCAGCATTGAAAAGGAACCAAACAAACCAGACATCCGCTCCAAAGTCACCTCGGATATTGACCTTTTGAAAGACTATATAAACAGAAGCAAATAAGTCACAAAATTCTCGCCATGAACTAACAACTAAATGGTTGCAACTTTTTAAATATAAAATCAAGCTAACAAGTTGCAATTTTATATAGCAAGAATGACAGAGTGGAACAGACTAAACTTACTGTTTCTTTTCTAGAACATCCAAATTTGCTTTGCAACTGTACAATGGAAAACGTAAAAGGTATAAATATATGTATATGACCAGTCAAATCAAATAAAATGAAAAGCTATGAAAAATTACCTTCACAGAGAAGTCAGTAATATCTAACAAGAGCAACTTCGATTCAAAGTAATGTGCTAATGCTCGGGCAAGCATTTGCTGGTAAAGTTCTTCAAAATTTAAAACCAGCTAGTATTAGTCATACCAACCTGAAAACTAAAAAACGTTTTTGCAGTAAAGGTTAAGTTCTTCGGTAGTATACCTGCCGGACCCGAAAGCAAAATAGCCCTGCTTGCTGGTGAGAGATTCCTGGTGTGCTTGGAGAAGTGGAGATGTTTTAAATGAACATATGCAGCACTTGTCAACAATACTCGAGTTCTTTCACTGTCATTGTCACATTATATGCAAACATAAGATATGGTGTAATCAGGAAAAGAAAAAATATATATATTGTTCATAACTTCTGTATGAAGAAGGAAAATAGGCATTAATATATCAAATTCCTCCAAGGTTAGATCAAATCCACCCCTGACTGGAATTGAGCTCCATATATAGAGATTCATGCTAAATAATTGACCGTTAGGGAAACAATACTGATATAACACTAGTTTATTCCTCAATTGAAAACTCATTTAGACACTAAAGCATGATGGCTGATTTAACTTAGCATGTAATTGTTGGATCATAAAATCAGAAAGCAAGAAGCTAAAATTTGATTTCAATTAAATCCAAGATGCACAAAATAAAGATAGGAGGAATTTATTTTCAATCTTTTAGCTGTTAACCACAAAAACATATTCCTATATCTAAAAATTTAAATAGTATATCACAACTTACTGACCTATGAACTAAGAATATAAGAACAGAAAAAGCATGGAAGAAACTAGTTGCTGTAGTAAAGACTGCATGAGCATTGAGGTATCAGGAATTTTCTAGGACTATGGAATTACATAATTTTTTTACGTTTTGGTACATCAAGGATTGTTAGAGAGTGTGTCTTTTCATCATAGTGATCATGAGTTGTAGTTGCAGAAACAACCTCTTAGACCACACTCCAAGTATGTTAACATCTTACCCTTCTAAATTGCACTTGGCCACCCTTCCACATCAAAGGGTTGTTACCACCACTTGAATTAGAGTCTCAATCATTGTAGCTTATCACAGAACAAAAGTATGATCTTTAGGGTCAGCAAGTGTTAATTATTGGAATTTGTGTATGCAGATTTATTGTGATCACCATGTATATATGCTTTGATCAAGAATGGAACCACTAATTTTAAGTTGACAAGAAGCATAGAAAAGTACAAATGACGCTCCATCTTCGAAGAAGGGGATGAAGCTCTAATCTGGAATATAGTGCTATGTTTAACCAGAAAACTAATATGAACCATAACAAAACTACAGTAAGTGCAAATGCACATAATAAGAACTAGGTACAAAGTTATCCTTTGATTACAAAAAATACAAATTAAAAATATGCTATCAGATTTACTCTTTCATCTAGTTTTGAAATTCTGCACACATTTATCAGAAGTTACCCCACTCAGATCCTGCAGCTTCCCTGTTTCTGCCCCAACATGCAACATATACTCAAAATGCAACAATTTGCTTTTAGAAACCAAAGAAAAACTATGCCAAAGGAAAATCTAAGGAAGATTGGTGAACTCAACAACAAAGGATCAAAGAAAATCTCAAAGATATGAGGAGATCAAACCCATCATAGAAGCCCCATAGAGTGTCAAGTTCATATCAACCAGAAGATTCACGGCAGATTACCATGAAATTTACTAGTCAAACTGAGAGAGATCCATGTCTGAAACATCTTTGACTCCCAAGTTTATTATATTACACTAACATAAATTCATATATAGCCCCAAAAAAAATGCAGACAATGTTTAAATGTCGTTCTGCAGGGTCAAAATAGTAACAAAAACAGAGATATAAATAACATAATGTTTCATCAATATATATTTAATGAAATATCAAAATCACCTTAAGTAATAAGGAAACTCATCAAATGTAACCTTGCTGTCCTTTCCTTCAACCACCAGTTTCTTGAGCTCTTGCACAATCTGCTCCCCGGAAACCTCATCAGAGTTACGATTCCCTCCAACCCATTTCTGTCCTGAACTGAACCCAAGCCCCACACCTAACCCAACTCCGACACTCAATGCTGACAACAGAACGTGTTTCTGTTCCATCACGACCCTGAATCCAAGTTTGGTCCTTTAAGACCCCAAAAGCGATTTTTCTCCAAAGGGTATCAGGATGTTAAGCAAGGCAGTTGATGAATGATGATTCAGGAAAGTGGGCACACCGGATATTGTGGACGACAAGAACAAGAAAAACAACAACAACAAACTATGCAAATGAGGCCGAAGACAACGTTGGTCTAAAGGATTTTGACAAGGCAATGACTCGCTCTGTGTGTGACCCTCCTCAATGCCTATATATAGCATGGCATAACTAATGGACGTTAATACACATTGCTTGCCATGAACCCAAAAACCAAATTTGAAAGGCAAAAAGAAAAGGAGAAAAAAAAAGTTGATATTTTTACTTTTCCATGCTTCTTTTTAGTCATAGTGGTGAATGGTGGTGTGGTGACACCAAATCTGGGTTCTCTCTTTTAGACTCTCCATTTTTTCCCATTTATTTATTATTAGTCTATTTGGAAACCTTTAATAAAAGTCTTTTCTTTAATATATTAGAGCCTTTGGTAATAATAGTTTTTAGTATAAAATATATTATTGTTGCCCCTTGTTTGTTCCGTGCAGTGTCATTTTGGTTTTTTCTAAATAAATAAATGTAAAGTTGATGAAACGGTATGGTTGGTGCCTGGCTTATTTGTTTTCTATAAAGCATGTTAAAGTCAGGACCATCCATGGAGTTTTCAAGAGAATTGGTGAATGACACCTAACCCTTTCTTGGTCCATTCTAATTTTGCACATTTTACTGAGGAGGGACGTGATTTAAGTAACACTTAAGGTTCGGTTCATCTTGCACACTTTTGGACAGATTAGAGCCTGATTTTGGAATGCAAAATAATAAGAGTTTCTCTCAAATTTTAAATATCAATAATTTCATCACTACTTATTTTTTTTATACATATGATGCATTTTGGAGTGCAATGAAAAACACATAAATATGCAATGAGTTCTCTGCTAAATCCGTTGTCTTTTCTGTCGTTCCAATTTTATTGGAAAGAACGGACTCGTTTAAACTTTTCTATTTGATTCATTTTTATTTATTAGACACCTTTTATACATTGAAATGATATATAACTTTGGGTTGTTGGAGGTGTTTTTTAGTTCAAGTTTTGAAAGTTTTAAGAAGTAAAATAATTTTTTAGTTTAAAAGTTTTATATTTTTTTTTAATTTTAAATTTTAAAATACATACATGTTTTTTTATACATTTGGGTTTATATGTTGATGATGGAATAAGAATAACAATGATCCAGTAACAACGAAAGTGATGGAAAATCAATAGTAATTAAAAGTGCAATTTTTTTAATCTACATAACATTATATAAATAAAAAGTTATAAACAGTAATTTTTTAATAAAAATTACAAAATTTAAGGTAGCATCAACGATTAAAGAGAGTGGTAGTAACAAGAATAATAGGAAGCAGTCAAATTGATCACATAAAAAGGTGATTATTAATGACAATTATCAACAGTGGTGTTAAGAGATTGGAGAAAAATAATGAAGATAAAACATATAGTAATAGCCCAAACAACAAATGTGGTGTTTCTTTGGTGGCAATAGTTACAGTAATTGTAACTATGGTTAATTAGTGATAGTTTTAGTAATAACATTGGTAGTAATAGGTAGTTGGGGGGACAACAAAAAGTAATAATAACAATGATAACAAATATAAGAACAATGATTAATATTGACATTGAAGATGATATAAACAACCGTGGTAATGGTGATTACAGTATTAGTGAGAGCAATAAATAATTTTTTTGAGAAAATGAATAAATTAAATTAGCTATTTTTACAATTAAAAAAATTATAATAACTTTTTTAATTTTAAATTTTGAATTAAAAATCTGTCAAACTGAATTAAGAAACTAATTGAACTTCATTGTAACTAAATGTGTTGAACAATTAAAAGGTAAAATTTAAAAGCTTACTAATAATGTTTTTGTGCACTACATGACTTAACTGTCATTAAGTTAAATTATTTTGAATTAATAAAAATTATATGATACAAACATTTTTAAATTTTATAAATATTAAATATTATAGTGATAAAATTAAAAATAAATTATGAAAAATAAAATTCATATGAAATTGAAAATTAAATACATAATTTAAAAATAATTATTTGACATTATAAAAAATAATTCCTAAAAACATTTTAAAAGTTCTCTCGTATAAAAATACTCTTAAAATTACTCTCATTAAAAAATAAGTACTCACGGTGTATACATTGATTCTGATAACACCTTAAATAAACTGTTAATTAGGCTTCTTTTTTTTTTTCATAAGTTTAGGCTTAAATAGTTATATTTTGATACTTAAATGCATAAAAAATTGTTTTATTAGCCTTTATATAATTACAATCTTAAAACAAGTAAAGTTCTTGTTTTAACCTTATAAATATATTTATTTATTAATAATAGTTTTTAAAAAATAATACTAATTTCAGTCTTATTTATAAAAATAATTATTAATATTTTTTGTCTTAATTATTAAAAAAATACTTATTTTTAAATGTATTATTTTTAAATTTTTTTGTATTATTATTTATTGTGAGATTTATATAAAAAAGTATTCACTTTTTTTTCATATTAATGGACACATTTATTTATGTAAAATGTAAGACAACAAACAACTAGTTTGACAGATTAAGAATTAAAAATTATATTTAAAATAAGAATATTTTTATCTAACAATACATGCACATGAGTAATATGTAATATATAGGAAATTAGTAATATGTAATATATAGGGAATTAACAGTAGGATTGGATATCTTGATTAAAAAAAAGTGTCTTGTTGGGCACAATTTGATAGGTAAAAGAGATTATGTTGCACAATTTAAAAAAATGATATGAATTGCACACACAACCAAAAGTAAAAGGAATTAAGTGTATTTTTTTCAATTTTAAAATAGAAGTATTTTTATTCAACAAATTATGCCTATGAAAATCACATGAGAGAGTTCTCGGATCAAATTGAACTTTACTAAAGACGACAATTAAAGAAACGAAGAAAGTAGATAAATTCTACCGTGTTTTGAAAGACGAGTAAGTATTTTATATTTTTATATATATGTGAAATAATGATAATCATAGATTTAGTAATAGAATTAGTGATATATTTAAAAAAATATAAATATTTTTTAAATCTTAATATAATATAGAGATAATATTCAACGTTCCTTCAAATTTAAGAATACTGTAGCAGTCAATAAGAAAATATCCATTATAATAAAGAAAAAAAATCAAAAAACATAATTTTCTGTTTGAAATTAAGGTCGAATTACTCATATTTTTTTTCCTTTTTTTTTTCTTCATAACTAAATTTCTCATTTCCAAGTCATCATCGGCTTTTGTAGTATCCTGTACACTCAGGGCTTGTTTGATGATTAAGATAATAATAAATAAGATAGAATAACATATCATATTTATTATTAATCAAGTGTTTATGGAGACATAAAAATATAATTAATTTATTATGTTATATATTTTATCATATTAGACTAGTGTAATTATTATCTCATAAATATGAGGTTAGAAAAAAAAATGAGTATATAATAATTGTTTTTCTCAAAATATTCTTAATCTATTATGTTATGTTTCTCTTTTCTTATCTCCCTTTTCTATTTTTTTATATTTTTAAAATATATTAAATTGTTTTTATATTTATCTAAAAATTAAAAATAAACAACATATATCGAGTAAATAAATATATCATGTCATTGCTACTAAACATGTCTTTAATATAACTAACTTTTTCTCATTTTGTCACTTTTTCTCTTGTCTTTCTTTTAAAATAATTTTTAATTTTAATTTTATCATGACCCATTTTTATAAAGAATCAATGACATTCTGCATTACTATTCTTACTTAACTTATTCATTTATCGATTATTATATACATGAGTTTAAAAACATAAACTTATAGCAATTTGTAGTGATTCAGTGAGGGATTCAAAATATAAGTATTTAATTATAATTACATTCATTAACAAATTAGTAATATCCAATAGTCTAGACCTAATACTCAAATCTAGATCAACAAAAAGATTAACTTCGTGCTCTTCCAAAATGTTAACTTCAAAGTCTCTTAGCCAGACCTTTCAGCTTGAGAAGCAGATGCATTTCATGTACCTTCTGCTTACATATCATCGTACGATCATTGCAGCACATGCATACCAACACAACAAAATACAAGGGTAAGCTTATATAATTAACTACATTATTAATGAAATATGCATGAATATAGAAAAAATTATTTAAACAGTTCATATCAGTCAGCACACAACATTACACAGCTTCAATACAATAATGCAACATGTCCATCCCATTCTCAGCCCATCCAATGCAAATGCAGCGATTCAGTTTCCATCTATTTTTACAGCCTAAGTAATCCAGAGGAACTGTTTTCCGGTCTGGGAGTGATCCATCTTGGTATCTAGATCGAGACATAGCACAGCTCAACATCCTAATCAGCTCTAAAATAATGATAATGAATAGGATGAAACACAGCTAAATCAGCATATTACAGTACAGCAAAATATTTATTTTTAGCCTCAGCAATACAACAATAAATATATTTTTATCCAGCCTCAATAGTACAACCATTTATATATTCACAACAAAACTCAACATTTCAGCATATATTAACATTCTCAGCTCATTTATCACAACAATTTGGCATATCATTTTCTTTCATCACAACGATACAAACATTTATTATACAGCAAGAAATACACTCATCCGATAATAGTGAAATGTATTCAACTATGTAAGTTCTGATTTCTAGCTCACGATTTAGCTTATACAACTCATTACTCTCAGCTATAATGAAATCTTTTATATAAACATCTCAGCCTCCACTAAATAAACTAGATCAGATTAGGTAAGCTTCTCTTACCTGGAATAAGTTTCAAAATCGTCTCCTAATAAGCCCCGCAGAGATAGATTAACTGTTTCTGTTTGAAATACGGCTTGAATGGCTCATATCTACTCAGAACAACCCGATTTAACTCTCTTGAGAAAGAGAGAGAAGAAACAAGGTAAAACTGAAAACTGAGCTCCAAGAACTCACCTATATCTCAATGAGGTAGAAGATCTCGATTTGATCGCAGAGAAATTTGACTTCGGGAAGGTTTTTGCTAAGAGTAATAAGAGAGAGAAAGTGAGAGAGAGAAGTTGTCTGGTGAAAAAATGAGTCATTCAAGATACCCTTCCAACACACGCACTCTCACTTAAGCAAGATACTTCTCACTTGAGCGAGCTTTGCTCTCCCTTGGGCAAGCCAACCCTCGCTTGGGTGAGAAAACCAGATAATGAAACTTCTCAAATTTCTGATATTCTCGTTTGAGCGAGCTACATCTCACCTGAGCAAGCAGCATTTTCGCTTGAGTGAGATTGCGTCCAGAGAGCTACCTATTACTCCT